CTGGAAGATGGAAAGGAGATGGGGCTGGGGGGCCAGGGGCCAGGAGCCATAATGTCAAAGACCCATTTTCTGTCAGAGTTCTTTGCCCTGCAGTCTCTCTCTGGCTCTGCTCTCCCCTCCTTCCCACTAGTCACTTCCCTCTTGGGAATGTCAAAGTGCAAGATGCAGAAACCAGGGCGAACAACACAGCCTAAAGACCAGCTCTAGCTGGCAGCCCAGGTTCTTCTCCCACCCGCTTCTCCCTGGAGTGTCAAAGGCTGGGTCAGGGGACGGCAAGGGCTTAGGGGTTCCCTCCAATGACAGGTGAGGCCAGCTCAGCTGCTCAATGCAGGAAGCTAGGAAAGGTTAGACAGGTGGGGAGGACGACAGACAGCTGACCACCCTGGGGCAGCCAGGGCAGGCTGTACAGCAGGCAGGTTCAGTGTTCACAGTGCAATGGCTTCCTTCATGAGGGGCAGCCTCTGCGTGGCTGCCTGGAAGTTCTGGGAGGGGCTGGAAGGAAGGAGGGCAGAAGAGACCAGAGCTTAGTCCTCCCCTTGGCATCAGGAGCAGGCCATGCAGGTCCTGAAGGCAGGGCTGGCCTCCCTTCTCCACCCAGCAACCAGAGAGGGCACTTAGGTGAACGGAGGGTGTAGAATCCTCCAAGTTGTGGGTGCAGACCAGCAGGCCCAGAGGCCTCCTCTTCCCGTCATTAGGCTGCATGTGTTTTCCGGGAAATCCAGCAGATGCTGTCCCACCCTGCCAATCTCATGCGCCTCTCATTGGAAACAAGTCCCTGCTTGCTGATGTTAGGATCTCTTGCCACCAGGCGGGTCCTCTGGGCACAAGGGCTCTTCCATTCCTCAGCCCTTGTCTTGCTGTCCAATATCCACAGGCCTAGGCATTGGCTTGGAGGGGAATGTGGGGAGGGTGCAGCCCTTGGGGGGCCAAGGGACCTGAGCCAGGCTTGTCAGCCTTCTTCAAGCAGACGGGAGCCTCCAGGGCCCACAATAAATATCAGTCACTTGGGGAACAGCCCCAGCCCTCTCTCAGTCAGTTGAGGGTCAGAGGGTCGAGGGCCGAGGGCAGAGGGACTCCTGTCTGGCTGCTCTGGTCCAGTCCTGGAAGGCAGGGATGCTTGTACTGGGCAGGCCACCATCCCAGGAGAATGGCTGGGGAGGGCTGGGGGTGGATGCCCCCATAACTTCTCCTCCATGAAGAGACTGTCCTGTGTGCCCAGCTGCAGGGAAAGAAAGAAAGGCTGGTCAGCTGAGTGGGAGTGGAGGAGGGTCGCTGAGGACACGGGTGGGAGAGGCGCAGCGTTCCTGTGGGCTGTTGGTGGTACAGCAGGCAGGACATCCTCTCGTTCTTTCCCTCGCCTACCCAGCCACCTCAGACACCGCAGAGGGGCCAGGCGGCCCTCCCTGGCAGCAGTCCAAGCCTCTGGCCAGACTGGCCTTACCTCCTCCCTCCTTCTGGGGAACCAGGGACCAAAGGGGAGGCAATGGGGTCTGGAGGAAGATGGGACAGGGTCAGGGGTGGGGTCATTGCTCAGACAGAGGGGCTTGACAGGGAGGGAAGGGGACACTTGAGTGTCTTTAGACCCCTCCTCGGGCAAAGCCATCTCACGGGCCCTTGGTGCAGTGAATTTAGGGTGGCTCCTGATAACTCCAAGGAGCTCTGGTAGCATAGTGGTTACAAATCAGGCTGCGAACTGCAAGGTCAGCATTTCGAAACTACCAGCTGTTCCACAGGAGAAAGATGAAGCTTTCTGTTCCCGTAAAGATTTACAGCCTCGGAAACCCTGTATAGGGTCGCTATGGGTCGCTTCTGACTCCATGGCACTTAACCACCACCTGATAACTCCAGCGAATCAGAGGGATCATTCATTCCCACCTCCACCCCATTCATCAGAGCATTCACAGATGATATTTGGGACAGCAGGGCAGACGTAACTGAAGAGGAAAAACTTGGGCCAGAGTAGAAAAGTCTAAAGGCAGCACTGGGACCATGCCATTGGGCACACTGAGCCCTAAGCAACCCAGCCTCCTTCTGGATGAGCCAAGGGTCTTGCCACCCTCCCACCCCCTCCCTTCACCATTATCCACAGAAGCCAGGGCCCTGCCCTCTCTCTTCCCCACCCCCAGCCTTGTCCCCTTGCCCAGCATCCCCAGAACACTTTGTTCCCAGAGCAGAAATCCCCTGGACTCCCTCCAACAGTTTGACTTTGACCCTGTGTGGAGTCTCCCACCCTGTGCATCCATAAGCCCTAATGGCAAAGCCCAGGATGGGTACAAAGCGAGATGGGCTCACAACCTCTGGCTCCTAGCCCATTCCCATGCTCTGGAGGGAAAACCAGAAACTGGAGATGAGCCATGCTGGGTACAGCCAGGCCACAGGCCCTGCTGGGGCCCAGAAGGAAAGGCCTGCTGGACTCATCTTCTGGTTCCCAGGGTTGACATGCTTGTGTCAGAGTTTTCTGTCTGTGCCTCTGGGTCCCTCTCTCAGTCCCTTTGCCTCTAGGCCTTTCTCTCTCCTGTCTCTTATAAGAAGAGCAGTCTGGCAGGCTGGCACTGACTCTTCCTGGAGCTTCTGGTAGCTGGCCAAAGAAGTCTGAAAACTGGATCTACTGATCTAGGTGGGGTGTGGATGGGGCCCTTGCCTGGGCTCCTATCCTAGTAAAACACGAAGAGGAGGAAGAGAAAAGCTTGCGGCAGGTCTGAGAGTAGCAGGCAGGGAAGATGGGAGTGTAGACAGATGGGGCAGAGGGCCAAGACCAAGGTGTGTGTGTGGTGGGAGGCTAACAATCAGCAGAAAGAGTGGCGTCCCTAAGGACCTCTGTCCACCAGCCCAGCTGACCCACTCACACATCTTAGCCCACCCTTTCAACACAGTAATCCCCAGGATTCTAGATGTGTGACTTCTCACTCTTCTCTAAAGGCTATCTTGGTTTAGAATATTTGCCAGATACCCTGTCCCTTCAGGAGTGACTCAGGCTTGCTGCTGTCCATACCAGAAGGCCCTAAGGCATGGTTGTGACTGGCAATTTGGATGGGTTGCCCCAGTGACCCAGTCAGTCAGCAAACAAGACAGCCAGCCAGAAAGTCAATTAGCCAATCAATTAGCCTATCAACTTACAAATAAAAGAACATTGTCCAGATCAAGGAAAGTAACCATGCCATGGTACTCTGAGCTGGTCAGATAACAGTCAGTAAATTAGTAAGACAGTCATTAATTAGTCAGTTGGTTAGTTACTCACCCAGCCAGCTGGTCAGTCAGTCAATTAGTCAGTTAGCTGGTTAACTGGTCAGTCAGAAGGTTGGTCAATTAGGGACAGCTGGCCACGACCAGTCATCAGTCAGCCCCACCCCATTTATTGAGCTGTTGGTATGTGTGGAGAAGCCCTGTCTGTACTAGAACCTGGGACAGAAGAGATACAAAAAAAAAAAAAAAGTGGAAGACACATTCCCTGCCCTCAAGGAGCTTACAACCTTTACAGGGGTGTAGAATGTACATAGACACATAAAATAGGATTTAAAAACTTACAAAAATGACATCCAAATAAGTGCAAATTGGTATAGTATTAATCAAATACAAGAGTAAGCGGGGTAGTAGGAATCAGAGAAACAACCAGAGGGCAGTGAGGGTACTCAGGGAGACTTCTGACAGGGCTGATTGTGGGCCTAGGGAAGGAAGGCGGGTAGAAGGGCCATGGGCTGGTGGGTCATGGGGACAGAGGGGAGAAAGAAAAAGGGCCACATTTTCATCAACAAATTCAATAGGCCTGGATGGTAGGCAGAAACCAATACGTGGTTTTAACAAGGATGAATATAAACTCCTGCACTTTGGTTATAGGGGGGAAAAAAGTGTCTAAGTACAGGAGAGCAAAGGTCTGGCTTCACAGAGGTTTATGGGAAATGGGACTAGGGGTTTTCATATACTACAGATTCAACACGTGACAACAGTCCGGTGTAGTCGTGAAAGAACTAATGCGATCTTAATCTGTACGAATAGAAGAGCATTGTCCAGATCAAGGAAGGTAACAGTCCCACTGTACTCTGAGCTGGTCAGACAACATCTGGAGCACTGTGTCCAGGCTGGGCGCCACATTTCAGAGGGACATTGACAAACGAGTGTGTCCAAAGGAGGGCGACCAGGATGGTGAGGGGTCTGAAAACCATATCATATAAGGAATGTTTGAGGGACTTGGCCACATTTAACTTACAAAATTCTCAAAGGGGATATGATTAATGGATTTTAAATATTTGAGGGCTCTCAGGAGGGTTGGAGGGAGGATCAGTGCGGAGGGGACAGGGAAGCCATTCTGCTTTTTAAAGGAAAGATTTCTCACAGTGCTAATGAAGATGTCATGGACTGTGGAGGGAGCAGGAATCTTTCCTGGGACAAGAAGTATGGGACAGGAAGTTGGCTGAAAGAGGTGGGAGCTGGACCAAATGACCTCTGAAAGCCCTTTCAAGACTGAGGGTCTATGGCTCTGTGACTCTAAAGGCAGGGAGGTAGAAAGGACTGGCTGAGAAGAAGAGCCAAATAGTAGAACAAAGAGAGGAGAAAGCTGGTGCAAGGTACATGTTGTGGGTCGTTGCTGGAGGGGCTTGGAAGCCAAGCTGAAAATGTTGGGTTTGAAGTGGTTGGCAATGTAGAGTTGTTGAAAATCCTGCAGCAGGGTAAAGACCTCACAAAAGCCACATTTGAGGAAGAGAATTTGGGTTACTCTGAGATCAAAGGACCAGATGCAGAAATGGAGGCAAGAGGTCATAGTGCCTGGCCTCAGATGAGCTGAAGAGACTAGGCGGCAGGGAAGACCTACGGGCCAGACCCAGTGATGGATGAGAAGGGGAACAGGAGAGAAGAGAGGGAGTGGAGTGTGTGGACCTCTGGGGTGGGGTGGGAAGTAGGGGGAGCAGTTAGTATCTCCAATGGGTTAGGGTGCCTGGAAAGGGTGTAGCTCAATTTGAGGGGGAGAGGAAGCTCAAAACTAGAATCTTACCTTAGAATTTCTTCTATACTGGCAGTTCCACCTGTCTGTCCTCATCCTGGGTCAGGGGGCTGCAAGTAGAGCATAGGGCTGTCGTGAGACTTCAGCAGGAGCAGGAGAAAGGGACCCACTAAGCTTATCCCCTAACTTCCCTGTGCATGTGCTCCAGCCCCGTCAGATTTGAAAGACCCTGGATTATCAAACCTCAGGAAGTAACCAAGAAAAATCCCAGATCCATAGGAAATAGGGAGGCTCCCCGCCCCCATTCTCTTCTACACCTCCAATTCCCCAGTGCCAGTGGGACATTTCCCTCTGCCAAGCTCAAGGTAAAAAACAATTCCACTTCAGGCTCCCGAGACCCTACCCTAAGGCCCACCTCACCTGCCCTCTGATTGTTCCATGGGAGAATCCACTGTCTGAGGTTCTCGATGGCTCTGGGAAGGAAAGCAGGGTTACTGAGGAGGTGGGGGAGCCTGGGAAGAGGGTAGGGGTGGGAGAGGGGACAGTGGTCCTTTCCCCAAGCAGGGCAGCCCCATGGGTTGATAAGAGAGTTGCAAGAGTTTCCCCTCCTGTCCTCAGTTACTGAGGGCCAGGAGAAAGCCAAGTGGCCTCCCTGCTGACAAGCCCCACATGCGCTCCTCTCTCTCTCTCCATGAGGGCTGTCTCCCATGGGTCCTTATCCAGGACTGCAGAGCCTATGCACAGCATCACAATCTTCCTTAGCTTCCCCTCTCATCTGGCTTCTTGTCCTGCTGTGGCCCCAAGAATATTCTCTCTCACTTTCTTCTGCTCCGGTCCCTTTCCTTCCTGCTGAGCTTATAGCCAGTAGAGCCTTCCTCATTCTGGCAGAAGCCCTTCCTCCCAGCTTTCCCATGCTCTGGGCTCAGTCAGCCTCCTCTCTCAGTGGTAGAAGAGCCCAAGCTGCACCTCCACCCTGCCCTCATCAGACTCTTCTTACCCGCCACCTCCGCCTGTAGAACAGGAGGCCCCCAACAGCCAGCAAGACCAGGATGATGCTGGGCACCAGCAGATGGAAGACAAATCCAGGGAGCTGGGGATCGGAGAGTCCCACATGTTGCCTTTCATGGCCTGTGTCAGTCAAAGGAACGGTGTTAAAACGGGCCTGGGGCCTGGCTGCCCCCTCACTTGCTCCTCGTCCTCCTTCCAGCTCTGCGGGGCTTCTCCGATCCCTGGTGCTCCTTTTGCCCCCCTGCACCACAGGGGGCAGCACGTTGCCCCTTGCATGGCTTCTGGGAAGGCTTGACTGAACAGAGAGGGTGGAAGGACTGCTGAGGCCTTGTGTGCGCAGAGATAGAGTCCTTGGAGAACCTGGCTTCTGATGGTCTTTGGGCAGGGCCAGTGGCTGATCCATCTCCTCGGGTGTGTGACTCCAGGCCTGGCCCGTAGGCTGGACAGTGACTGCACTGGGCAAGGGCATGCCAGTTGCGTCTGCCAGCTCAGGGGCCTCTGCTGATCTGGCAAGTGGAGAAGATGCCGGGAAGTCAGTGTGCTCAGTGGTCTCTGCTTGGACATTGCCCCCTTCTGGCCCGGAGGGTGAAAGTTCAGCTCCTTGAGGTACAGGACCCTCACTAGCCTCTCCAGACGCTTCTTCTAGTGCCCAGTTATTGTCCAACACAGAGTCAAGAACATCCTCCATCCCAGGGATGGGGGCCCCAACAGAGAGGTGGGGCTGAGGTGAACCGGCGGCGGGGTTGCCCTCGACGTTTGGTGTCTCTGGCAACTCAAAACTCTGGCAGGTACTCCTGGGTGGTCGCTGCTTGGCACTGCCTGTGTCCACTGCATTCAGGGGCTGCTCACTGGGCAACAGAGAGCTGCCCTCTGTTCCCTCAGAATCTGCCCAGCTCAAGCCAGCCCTAGGGACTGTGGAGGGGGCGAGGGGCTGGTGAGGGGAGGCAGAGGCCAGGTCACTGCTAGGGGTGGCTTTGGGGTATAGGCAGTTGCAATCAGGCTTGGTCACCACATCTGAAAGAACCATAGAGAGGGAGAGAGAAAGACGGGAGGAGATAGAGTCACCAGTCTCCAGCACAGCTTTCCTAGAGGGGCCAAGAGGGGGACATGGGTCTGGGGCTCCCCTCATCCCCTGACTCAGCCCTGGAGCTGAGGAGAGGACAGTATGGGACAGATGCTCATGACTAGGCCTCAGGCAGAGCAGTGTCTCATGGGTCAAGAGCGAAGAGGGGACTTCAATGCACAGACTGGGGTCAGAATCAGGGAAGACAAAAGAGAACAGACAGCCCATGCTAGAATTCCAGCCAGCTAGACAGCAAGCCAGGATGAGCAGAAGCCAGACCTTGAGGTTGAGAAGTAACCTCCAGGACTAACACAAGGCACCCTCAAGCCCAAAGACACCACACTGGTTGGAAAGCAGAGATGGTTTCATGCACAGCCAGGGACCACACAGCTGCAGCCACAGGAGGGAACTGACTGGAGCTGGAATGTTGCCATGGCTTGAGGCCTTGGTATTGAAACAAGCAGCCTGGACTTGGCCACTGGCAGGTGGCAGGGCCCCAGCTCCTGTCTCAGGGAGTTGTAGGAGGACACGTGTGGCACAGGACGCAGAGACGAGGACACGCAGGGCACACATGTTACGTAGCTGGACCAGCAGCACTGAGAGAGTTTGAATGATGCTCATACTTCAAATCCTGCTTTGTCCCTTGAGGGGACACTCAAGGCATCCCGGGGACTTCTGGAGCCAAGGTGTCCTGGTGATTCACAGCAGGGCTCTTGGAGTGAGGGCCCTGACTCCCAAATAGGGTAGGATATCTGCCCTCTCCACTGAACCCTTCCAAGTGGTCGGCCAGTCTGCAGCGCCCATGGGGAAAGTCTCCAAGAGGGTCCCTTTCCACTCTCTGATCTCCCAGCTACCAGCATCATCCTTCTTGATGTCTTGGCATGCAGACATATGTGGGTGTGCATGCACACACATGCCAGAGAGACATGTGCCCAGGAACGGCCAGAGGTACGTGAAGCCACATATGTACATGAAACAAGCACATCTACACACACAGGCGCACAAGTAGCAGTCTTCCCCGGGGTGCCTCCAGCCCAACAGCTCACCTCCCGGCTTGTCCTTGGTCCCTTACATCCTCCCGACACCATCCACTTGCTGGTCCCTTGGACTTACCTTGGCTGGAGCATTTAGCAAAGCTCTCGCTGCAGTTCTTGGAGAACACATTCCAGTTTTCATTAAGGAGATTCCTTGTTTCATTGAAGACATTCTTGATCTTCTCCAGCAACTGGAGGGGTGTCTCATAAAAAGTTCGGACACAGGCCTGGAAAGAGAGCAGGGAGCCCCTTTGGTAAGTCTGACCATTGACCCCACATGCCTATCTATTTTGTCAGCCTCTCTTGGGCTTTCTCACATCTGTCTGCTTTTTTCCCTTTCACATCCTCCTTACTTACCTTACTGGTTTGCAGCAGAATCTATTTGGAGGCTGTGGAATGTGCCCTTTACTCATATAGCCATTAAATACAAGTATGGTAAAGACCCTGGAATTGTGCAATGGGTGAGTGTGGAGTGGCCCCTGGTAGAGTTGGACTTTGTGTCCAGCAGGGGCATTTGCATAAAATACAGTCTTATATGTGTTATGAGCCCTGTGAAAAAGGAGGACTAAATGAGCCTGGCAGTTCAGGGAGCATTCTCCCCCCTCCCCAAAACGGACTCAAAGATGTTGTTGTTAAGTGCCCATTGAGTTGGTTCTGACTCATAGTGCCCCTGTAGAGGGTTTCTGAGGCTTTAAATCTTTGAGGGAGCAGAACGCCTCAGTCTTCTCCCACGGAAAGGCTGGCTGTCTCAGACCGTGGGCCTTCTGGTTCACAGTCTACTGTATGAAGCCAGAGCACTCCCCTACTCAAAGATGAGCAGGAGTTAATCAAGAATCCAGTGTGAGGTGGGATGTGGAGAGAACTATCTAATTCCTGAGGCAGGATAGAGCCTGAGATATTGAAGGTCTAGGAGAAGGAAGATTGGCAGGGCTCAGTACCATCGTTCAGGGGAAAGTGGTGAGAGGTGCAGATGGAGAGGGGTCAGCAAGGGCAAGTCCTGCTGGTCCCTGTGGGCTATTTTAAGAACTTTTAATATTATCCATAGAAAAACAAACCCAAAAATATCTGAAGGCTTGCTGGGAAGGAAGTAGTGGCCTGGTAAGACTTGGGTTTTAGAAAAATCATCTTGCTGTGGTGTGGAGAGTGGGATGGAGCAGGCCACAGGGGATGTGAGCCCTTCTCTGACGTGAGGAAGGGCTGAAGGCGTCTGGCCCTAAGTGAGCTCTCCCACTGGCTTCTGATGTTTCTCTCTTCTGCTCGTGGGATCTGGGACCTCTACATCTACCAGAGCTCTGAGAAGCTTCTCATACTCGATATTCCTTGTACTACTCGTGCTGTTCCACCTCATTCCCTTACCAGATCCCCCTTCTCCACCTGACTTCTAGATGCTGGCATTCTTCAGGGCTCCGGCAGATATGCCCACCACTTCCTGCCCATGACTCTCAAAGTGCACAGGGAAGAGTTACAGGTTTTTACTAAGATGTTGTTGTTGTTGTTGTTAAGTGCCATCGAGTCGGGTCCGACCCATAGCGACCCTGTACAGGGTTTCCGAGGGTGTAAATCTTTACGGGAGTAGAAAGCCTCCTCTTTCTCCCGCGGAGCGGCTGGTAGTTTCGAACCGCTGACCTTAAGGTTCGCAGCCCGATTCGTAACCACTACGCTACCAGAGATGTAGTCAGCGACAACTCATGATGGCCCCATATGTGTCAGAGTAGAATTAAACTCTGTAGAGTTTTCAGTGGCTGATTTTTCAAACGTAGAGCCAGACCTTTCTTCTCACACAGTATGTCCTTAATGAATGTTTTACTACATCAGTGAATGAATGAAGGAAATGTCCTGGACTCAGTTCCAGTATTCACTGGCAATGTTGTTTCTGTGGCTGTTGTTAAGCGCCATAGAGTTGGTTCTGACTCACAGCGACCCTGTATAGGGTTTCCGAGGAGAGGCTGGTGAGTTTGAAGCACCGACCTTGTGGTTCAAACCGACCTTGAAGTCCAGTGCATTATCCTGCAGTGCCACACCAGGACTCCACCAGGAATATAACACTGGCCAAAAGAATAATCTAATTTGTGCTTATTTCCTCATCTGTAAAGTCAAAACAATAAACCCTGCTAGCTGCTCTGTAGAGGTTGTTGTAAGAAAAAGGCGAGCTGGCTCTCTCCTCTCTCCATAAACCTGTCTCCCCCACACCTTCCTTCATACTTCATAGATAAAGCAGCAACCATTGGACGGAAGTTCCCTGTGCCCCACTGGTGCATCAGGAGTCTGGTTCTTCTCAGCTCCAGAGGAAGGGTCCCTCCCTAAAGAGGTCTTCCTCTCCCTACCCAAGGTGTAACCAAGTGGGGTCCAAGGACCACTGAGAATCATATCATGGGTGGGGTTACCTGTTAAAACGCATATTCCTGAATCCCCACCGCCTCCCCAGACCCAGTGAATCAGACTCTCTGGGCAGAGTGGCCTGCCTGGGAGTCTACACTTCAAATAAACTCTCCAGTGGATTCTTAGAAACTGTAGAGCTGGAAATTCACAAATTTAATACCTTGCATTAAAAAACTTTCCTACTTCAACCCCATGCCCTTCCAGCTTGCCTCGTTATTTCTGCCTCCTTTTGGAGCCAATTTCCTCCATAGTATTGCCTCCACTTCTTCTCTTTATATTCACCCTGATCCCGCTAAAGCCTTCAACAGCCATCTCCATGTTGCCAAATCCAATGGACATTTTTTTTCAGTCCTTACCTTGCTTGGCTTGGAAACACCATTTGATAAACATGACTACTTCCTCATTTAATACACTCTTACTTGGGCTGCCCCTCCTTTATCTGACCTCTAAATGCTTGTGTACCTCTGAGCATAGCCTAGCTTTAGTTCTTTACTCCCAGTGGGCAAGAGATACAGTTCAAAGGCTTCATAGATGATCCATCCATAATGCTGATACCTCTTCTCTCTCTCTCACTCTCTATTTATCTATATGCTGTTGTTAAGTGCTGTTGAGTCGGTTTCAACCCATAATGACCCTGTATTGGGTTTCCAAGGAGTAGCTGGTGAGCTTAAACCACCGACATTGTGGTTCAAATGACCTCGCAGTCCAGCACATTACCGCACAGTGCCATAGCAGGACACCATATAGCTATATAAAATGTAAATTAAGACACTTAGATCCAGTTGTCTGTACAAAACCTCCATTTGGCCATTTCACAAACATCTGAAGAGTAACATGTCCTATGGAAAAGACTGCAATCATTGTAATAAAAAGCAAAGTATATGATTTGTTGAATGTAAAACTGATGATCTGCTCTGTAAACCTTCACTCAATTCACTATAAAGAGTTGAAAAAAAAAAAAAAAAGATTAATATGCCTCCTAAATGGAACTCCTGTTCTTCCCCCAAAACCTTTTTTACCATTGGATCACTCCATATCATCATCACTGAAACATCTAGGTACTCAAGACAAAACTCTGGGGCTTGTCCTTGGCTCTTCCCTTCCCACAGCCGCTGCATTTACCAAGTCTTGCTGGCTCTGCCTCCAATGTCCACTTGCCTCCACCTTCATTGCACCACTTAGTCCAAGCCATCACTGACCTGGACTCCCTGCCTCCATTTCTACCACCTACAGCTCATCCTCCACAGGGCAACCAGAATGCCTTACAAGGGCTGTTTACAGTGGCTTCCCTGGCACTTACAACAAAATCTTTAAGGCCCCAGACGAGATGGCTCTTGCCTCCTCTACACTCTTCCTTTTGCATTCCATATCTAGCCATGTTCACCACCCTTTGGGTCCCTGGATGTGCACATTCCTGTCCCCCTGAGGGCCTTCTGCATCATGTCCCCTGAGATGGAACACTCTTAACACATTTTGCTTTCTAACTCTTACTCATCTTTGGATCTCAAATTCACATGATCTCAACCAGAAGCCTGTTTTTTCTTCCCCATGTCCATTCAAATTCGAGATCTCTGTTTCTCTCTCTCAGAATCTTATGTAGTTCTTGTTCATGATTCACTATTTCATTTACTCCAGATATTCCTGTCTCTGATGAACCCTTCTACAATACAACAAGCACATACCACATATTTTACTTATCTATTTTATCAACTGTCTCACCATCTCCAACTCCACCCTCAAATGTAAGCTACATGAACGTAAAGATTTTTGTTTGTTTTGATCACAACTGTTTCCCAGTGCCTAGAACAGCATCCTGTATACAGTAGGGACATAATACCTATTTGTAAAATACATGAATAGTCCTTATGCTTGAAATTATATTGATTTGTGTCATTGTTTGTTTAATGGCCAGAGTTCTGTGTGGCACTGTAAGATAAGCACTGGACTGCTAACTGCAAGGTCGGTAGTTCAAACCTACCATCCGCTCCTTGGAAACCCTATACAAGGTCACTATGAGTCAGAACTGTTTCGGTGGCACACAACAACAACAACAGCCACCTCATTTGATTGTGAGTCCCCTGAGGGCAGGAACCATGTATTTCTTATACACAATGATACTGTCAAGGCTGGGCACTATCCCGCCTGAATAGTAAGTCCTCAGCAGAGGTTTGTGGGATGAAAGAATGAATGAGAAAGTGAGTGAATGATGACATGAAGTGAGGCATGTGAAGGTACTCAGTACTTATGAGCAAGGCCAGGTGGCTGGGCTCCTTGTCCCACCACTACTTGTACTCCCTGCAGCCACAGCCACCCTTTGTCCTTACTCAGTGCAGCCAGTTCTACACAAGTTGGGAACGGAAGTGAAAGCAACCCTCCTACCTTGTCATGCTCTTCATGATCCTTGGTGAAGCAGCTCTTCAACTGCAAAGAAAGTTCCTGGAGCTTCAAGATGAAATTGGCATTGGGGGTGTTGTCTTTGAAACGCAAGGTGTCCTCCATTATGTCTTGCACCAGGAGAAATGCCTTCTTAAGGTAGCACACAGGATCATTCTGCAAAATGAGAATCTAGAGCTTACAGCCTGATTGGTACAGCCTGGGGACGGAAGCTCTATGCTAGAAACCCTCTATGCCACAAAGACAGAGGGCTACTCCACCCCTGGAGGAGGGCAATACCATGCCAGCAATGTGGAAAATACCGCTCTCAACTGCTCTTTCATTCCCTTTCTTTGGGATCTGGTACTTGTGAAAGTTTTGGATTTGTTGTTATTAAGCGCCATCGAGTTGGTTCCAACTCATAGCAACTCTGTATAGGGTTTCTGAGGAGTGGCTGGTGGGTTTGAACTGCCGACCTTGCAGTTAGCAGTCCAGTGCTTATCCTACAGTGCCATATCGGGACTCCAGACATTGGAATAAAGGAAAGGAAATATGGATTCTGATCGGAGAGAATCAGAATTCTTTGGCTTTCTGAAAGTAGGGCTTTAATCAGGGTGGGGGCACATAAGGAGAGTAGGCTCTGAGGAACACCCCTCTCTCTCTTCTTCCCTCCTCCCCTCCTTCTCTCTCTCTGCTTGGCTTCTACAAAAGTTCTATACCACCTGGCTCTTTCTAATCCTCCAGCACATAGATTACCTCAGGACCCAAAGAATAATGTCAGTATTTCATTCATATATTCACTCATCATTCATGCCTTTAACAACATTTACTAGAAACTTATTGGACTAGGTGCTAGGGGGAGAGCTAATGCAGACAGAATCTCTGTCTTTGAGAAGACCACCATCTCTTCATGGAGACAACTCAGACCACTCATAAAGGCGGACCAAAAACTCACTTCTAATTGAGGTGTGTATGGGCAGGTGTGTGCAAGCTCAGAGATGAGGGTGACCTCCTATATCATGGCAAAGGTTTTGTAAGAGACAGGAAGATGGATAGACACGGAATAAGGGCCTGTGTGAGGGCAATTGGAGAGGTATCACAGACATCAGGAAGAGTTTAAAGAAGACTTGGAGGTAGGGAGGAGATCTGTGAATGGAGACTGGAACTCATAATTGTCCAGCTAAGCAACCTAGGCTTTCTTCTGGAGTGATGAGGGTCTTCCATACATTTTGGGGAGGAAAGTGAAAGCAACAGGCTGAGATCTCAGAAAGCTCCCCCTAGTGGTGGTATGAGGGGTGTGCCAGTTAGGAGGCTCCTGAAATTGTCCAAAAAACTAATCAGGAGGGACAGAGCTCAGGCTGCTGAAACCCACAGAACCAGCAGCACTGGGTGTGTGTGGTGGGAGGGAGAGGGAAAGGCCTGGACCGACTCCCTGGATGCTGGCCTGTCTGGTGGATGGAGGTAATACTCTTAAGCCAAGCACGTGACCGGGAAGTAATAGTTTGCCTTAGGCCCTAGAGCTAGCCTCACAGGGTTCAAACAAGGCCTCCAACACTTACTAGCTCTGCTTCCGCAACCTCTCTGAGGATAATAAACAATATCAGTGTACCTCAGAGTGTTTTTGGCAGAGTTAAATTAGAAATGTGCCTGGCATCATAGTAGGCACTTGATATGTGCCTTGACAGGAGAGAGAGAAGCAGGGTATCTTGCCCAGCCCTGGACCCTGGCACCCCCCCACACAAGTACCTTATGCCCCTACTCTGCCCAGCTCTAGGATTTCTACCACCTTCATGCACCCACTCCCAGTACACCTAGAAGATCTATAAAGGCAGGACTTGTAAACAATCAGCACTCACCAACTGGTCCTGGTCTACAAACTCAAAGGCAATTTGGCATGAGGTCTGCATCTGACTGTCAATCTGTAAGAGAGAGCAGCCCAGTAGTGTCAGGATGGCTGAGACTTACCTGAGCCTGCCTCATAGTAGGGATTGGAGTTTGGGGATGGATCAAGATTTCTACCACCCTGCCCCCCAAGCATACCTGGAAAGATAGGGGGAAGGTAAGGCCAGGGTTGAAGAACAAGAAGTCTCTTTCTTCCACCACCTACCTTATGAAACCTGACAGATGCCAGCTGCTAAAAGGAAGAGCTATCTAACAGAGTATATAGAACAAAATCTTCCCCTGGGAGATAGTGGGCTCCCGGTCATGGCAGGGATTCAAACAAAGGGTGGATCAGCTCTGAGGATTCAGGATATGTGTGGTTTAGGACTAGATGCCCTCAAAGTTCTTGCTGGACCCCAGAGCAGTGGCTCTGTGATTCTAAGCTCAGAGAATGCTGTGGCTTTTGGGTCTAGGCAGGAGTAGGAGATGGGTCACAGGGGAGGCCCAGCCTGGAGGCCCCAAGCTCAGGGCCCTGGAGTTGGCCTTCGCCAATGGTGTCCCACCCTGCCCAGCTGGCCAGAGGGATGGTAAATTCCCATCTGAACAGAATAGCAGTCATGATATTAAACTAATCCTGCCTGATTGGACCATGCTTGGACCCAAGTAGAATGGCGCACCGACTCCTTCATGGCCTGCATGAGCAAACCACCTCAGCCCCAGTGCTCGGGCAAGAGCCAAGGAAATAGGGGTGGAGAGCTGGCAGTTAGGCGGGTGCCTCCCCTCCAAATCTGACAGTGGCCCTGGCTCTAGACTGGCGGCATATCTAGGAGTCCAGGAGCTGGTGACAACATGAGAACGCAGGCACTGTGCCGGCTCCCTGGAGGAGGCATCTCACTCAAGGAGACAGGCCTCAGAAGTCTTTTTAGAGTCCACACTTGATATTCCTGGGCAATCACTAACATAGGCAACCAGCTGAAAGCTCATTCTGTCCACGGCTTGCAGGGAAGTTAGAGACGGTTTCAGGGCCTTTACACGGAGAGGTGAATGACGGGGGCAACAGTGGAGCTGGGGCATGGGGGGAGAAGCCACAACCATGTTTGCACAACACTATTTTTCTTTGACCCTGCTCCCTGGATTATGTCTCAGTTTCCCCCGTGGGGAAAAAGCGAGGTACTCACCAGGCTCTGAAGGATCATCAGGTGGCTGTTGGTGATTATATGGCTACAGTGTTTCGAGGGCATCTTCTCGGCAGCGCTCCAACTCACCAGGAGACAGGCCAACAGCAGCCAGGAGCCCAGCCATGTCTGTGATAGAGAAGGCATCATTTCTCCCCAGCTCTCACTCCCCGCAAAGAGCCCTGGTGGCACTGTGCGTTAGACTTGGGGTTGCTAACCACAATCTTGGCGGTTCAAACCCACCAGCTGCTCCAAGGGAGAAAGATAAGGCTGTTTGCTCCCATCAATATTTATAGTCTCAGAGTTCTATTCTGTCCTACATAGGATTACTAGGAGTCAGAATCAACTCAACAGCTCTGCTGAGGGCAGAAAATCAATGAAATTCTATAGACTCTGCCCCTTACTCCAGGATGCAATAGTGCCCAAATCCAGATTTACTAGCATTTCCTACCAGCCATGACACAATCGTGCTTTCCTTGATGACAACCCAGATGTCACCTCCTCTAAGAAGCTTCCCAGATTCATCCAGGCCAAGTCATTAGACTTCTAATGATAACATGGGTGGTATGCCTATCAGACTAACTTCCTCATTACCCAGGAAACTCCTGGAAGGCAGGACTTGCATTTGCCTGTTATTCTGCCCCTGCAACATTTGACAAGGAGCCAGACACCTTCTAAGCAGCCTACTCTTCTCAAATTCACATTCACACACCAGCTTTCAGACTACAAGCCAGAGACCTTTTCCTGGGCCCAGGTCTCGTTCTGCCATTGGAAAAACTGGAGTCCCCAACTCATTTCCCTGGGTACTTATCCCTTGCCAGAGACCTCTTTGAGCCCAGACTATGTGTTTCAAGGAGCCCAATCAATTGATTACAGGTTCCAATGCCTGCTATGAGACAGTCTTGGCTAGCACCTGCCTATTAGAGTCTCATCAAGCTCTGCATCCAGCCAGCCCAGCTCTTACCATGGTGAGGACATTTTTCTGAGACCTTTCCCCTCTTTCAGCACCCACCTGGCCCTGTAGCCGCTCAGCCCCAGAGTGACGGAACTAGCTCCAGGCACCCTGCATTCCTCCTTCCCTCCTCCTCACAGAGGTCCCCTCTGTTCTCTCCTAGTCTTAGGTCTCCCCCTTCTACAGCTAGAGGCAGAGACCCCCTTGAGCTCCCTTCCCCTAGCTTCAGGTTGCATCTTGGGAGCTCCTGAGCCTCCTGGCAGCTGATGCCCCCAGATTCAGGGAAATGCTAGCAGGGTGGGGTGAGGGTTGGCACCTTCCTGGCTTCTGGGATCTGGGCTCAACCCCAGTAATCCAGATGATGAACAAATAGTGCAAATAAATAGCACATTGGAAAAACACAAGGCGACTATGAAACAGCCCACAACAACACGCTGATTTACATATAACTAAAAGTCCAAATGCTGTCAGCTCTTATCAGGGAGAAGATTCAGCTCTGGCTAGGCTTTCAGGGAGGCTGCATGGAGAAGGGGCCTCCGGGAGGCCTTGAAGGATGGAGAGAAGTTGGAGGCAAAGAGAAAGAAAGAGAAGTCTGAAGGGAAAAGGCAGAGGATGGTCCAATGCCACTCAGCACAGGGACAACACCGGGCCTCCTGGCCTGGCCTGAGGAAGGGAGAATGTGGATGAGAAGGACCACAGTCAGTTAGGGAGGTACTTTGGATGGGAATGGCTGCCCAGAAACTTCAGGTTCAGGACCCATTGGAGGAAACTGGGTCATGCAGATGGTGTGTCTCTGGGTCCCAGAGAAGAGGATGCTCAGCACGATAATCCTGCCACAGACACTACAAAATATTGGTAATTGTGGATAGCAAGGTGAAGACAATGCTTAACCCCAAGGGCTGCCTGACTTTTGAAGATATTTCAGGCTTCAGTTTAGGGAGCACGGAAGCCGCCATATGGATGACTAACTAACTTTAAAGGTGGTTAAAGGGAGCCTCTTCTGGACCTGGGACCCTAATTCTGCCTCACAGGAAGACCAGGATGGACACCCGAAAGTTAATGCTCTAACTGCATCTGGCTGAGCTGGCTCTTCTTCCTCCTCCCTGTTTCCTCCCACTCACCAGCCTCTGCCTCTGTACAGCAGCCTCAGGAAGGTGTCCTTGCTGTAGGCTCAGAGAGATTCTGGGATGTCTCAATCCATTTTTCATTTGGTCCATCATCTCCATCCACAGGTCTCTGGAGAGACTCTGGCATGACTGGACCCTTGGGCCAGCCACCTTTTCTTTCCTCCTCTTAGTATCAGTCCAACTTTCCCCAATATCTCTTCCTCAAGCTCCTTTCCCTTACCCATCACCTAATCCTTCCCCCGTCCCCCTTCAGCCTCACCTCCTCACTCTCAGTTAAGTGTTTCCTTCCCCATGGCTCAGTTCTTCCCTCTCCCTCCATCTGCAACCCCTTCTCCCATCCCCAAACATTTTTCTGCTTCTCTTCAGGCCAGGTTTCTCCTTTCATCTACTCCAGGGCTCCTCAGAAGCAAACCCACTGGAAGACCATAGACTGTTCAGTAACAGTGTCACTCATATTTTCAAGGAAGCTGCAGCAGCTACAACCCAGGGTTCCGGCCCAGCATCCCCCATGCAGTCCTGAGTTGTTCCTACCCCTTGTCCAAAACTCTGCAGCAAACTCTCCTTTCACTTTCTTCCGGATCTTCATAACCGACCAAGATTAGATTTTGCAAGAAAAAGTTTCAGAGCTAATGTCTTCAAAGTCATGGGTCAAGTCAGCTCCGAGGCTTGTTCCCCACAAGACAAACTTGACTCAGCCACCGGAGTCCCCATCAGCTGTTTATGGCTTTCCTGCCTGCTTTTTTTCTGCCAGCAGGTTGCTCGACCTTAGCATTGTATGAGCCTGGTGGTCCCTGAACTTTTCCTACCCCGAAGCGTCCACTGCCCTGCCAGTTCTAGAAGCATGTGTGTATCTGTTGAATAAGATGTCCAGTGAGGAAGGCACAAGACCCACAGCGACTCTTCCTGTCCCTTAGCAGTGACCGATCAAAAGGTTGAGAAGTCGGTAGAGGCAGAGGCACCCTGGCTGACACTGAGCCTCCACTCATACCTGTGAACCCCTCTTTGCTGCTTGCGGGTGGCTCAGCTATGCTCTCTGTGCCATGGGATGTGCAGCCATCCCCTAGTCATGGAAGCGCCGCAGCTCCTGGAGAAGCTGCAGGGCCGCCTCCAGCCGCCTAGCGCCGGGGGCCTCGGGGCAGCTTCGCGCGCCAAGGCGGGAAGGAAACCGCAGTCCTCCGCCGCGGCGGGAAAGCCTCTGTAGCCCGGACGTCCGGAGGGTCCGTAGAGAGGCACCGCGCCGCTCTCCCGCCCGGGGCCCAGACGCCGCACCACGGCCGCCGCTTACCGTGGGAGGGCAGCGCCCGGCAGCGCCTCGCGCGGTCATACGGGCAGCTGGGTCCCGGCCGGGCGCGCCCGCCGCCCTTGCTCGCTAGCCGCTGCTGAAGTCTGCGCCCAGGCCAAGGGGCCGCGCCGTGCCGCTGTGCCGGGGTGCGGAGAGATCGGCAGAGGCGCCGAGAGAACCGAGGCAAACTTTCACTTTCCCCAGCAGAGCTCCACTGGCCAGCTCCTCGGCACAGCCTTTTAAGCGGGCTGGGCATGTGGTTTATGGGAAATCACCCTGGACATGCGCCAGACACACAAACACACTCACACACACACGCACTGATACAGACAGACACACACATACACACACTCCGGAGGCCCACTGAGCCGCTTCCCCACCTCCTCCCCTCCCCCAGCCCTCCGTCTGGTCTTCCCCGCTTGTCTTTCCAGTCGCCCTCTGTTTCTTCTCGAACAGGACGCGGGCTCCACCGCCTCCCCGCCCTTCTCCCGCGCGCGGGGCTTCAGATAGAGCTGTTCGTTTCTCGCTCTCCAAGCAGATCCGGTGCTGTCAGTCTCTTTCTAATATTTGTCCCAAGGGACTTTCCCTCTAGGCCCGAAAATCCCCAAATCTGAGTAGGAAATGATCCGAGAGAAGGGACAGGCACTGGGATAGAAAAGCAGGCAGTGGGGCCTTTCCCGTGCTCACTCTGCAGCCCCTCGGAGGAGTCTGAGTCAGCAGGTCTGTAAGCAGCCCCTTCCCTCTTAGGCAGCCCCCAGGCAGCCTGCCTAGCCTCTGCTCTCTTGTCCTGACGGAAAGGGGGCCACCTGGCCAGGAGGGGAGGGAATGTGCCCTGGGAAGGGTAGCTGGGACACTCTGCTCTCTATGCCAGAAGACATGATGGGCGGGTGATGTAAATGCTGGCCGGGACCCTGCTCCCTCTTGGCAGGGCAGGATTGGAGGTCATGCACCTATTTCCCCTGTTGATTTTGGAAATGCATTTATAAATAAGCTGAATCACATTTTACATCTCTACATGGTAGCGTAGTGGTTACGACTTGGGCTGTGAACCGCAAGGTCAGCAGTTCGAAACTACCAGCTGCTCCGCGGGAGAAAGATGAGGCTTTCTACTCCCGTAAAGATTTACACCCTCGGAAACCCTGTACAGGGTCGCTATGAGTCGGTTCCGACTCCACGGCACATAACAACAACAACAACATGAACCCTAACAGCACAAGCCTATTATCATGCCAGCTTCAGGAGCTTTTCAGTTCTTCAACTCATTATTATTCAGTGTCTAGATCCTAGGAGAAGGCTTCACTAAGTTCTTGGATGTTTTCTACTATTTTTCAATTCCATTTTCCCACAAACTTTAAAAAATTTATATATATATATATATCCTGCCGTGGCGCTGTGGGTTAATGTGCTAGAGTACAAAGGAGCTCTGGTAGCGTAGTGGTTACGAATCGGGCTGCGAGCCGCAAGGTCAGCAGTTCAAAACTACCAGCTGTTCCGCGGGAGAAAGATGAGGCGGACTGCTCCCGTAAAGATTGACAGGCTCAGAAACCCTCTGCAGGGTCGCTATGGGTCAGAACTGACTAGACGTCACTTAACAACAATATATATGTGTATAAATATATATATATGAAACCTGGTGTGGTGCTGTACAGTAAGCTGTGACTGAAAGGTCCATAGGAAGCACAACGGCAGCAGTTCAAACTCACCACTCACCTCCTCAGAAAGCCTGTACAGGGCCACTGTGAGTCGGAACCAACTCAACAGCACTTAACTTTTCAGTTCAGTGCTTATCCTATAGGGCTAAATTTCTTGTCACTTGCCCCATCCCAGGGTTTCCAACCAATTTATTCCAGTTTGACCCCCTGCTAAGAGTTTGCCATTTCACCCCAGATATACCTGTAGATTCTGATTTAGTATATCTGGGGTGGAAATGCACATTCTCAGCAGGGGTTTGAACCAGAATAAATCAGTTCATTCATGGAGCAAAGCTTACTCCAATTCCCAAAAGTAATTTTAATAGTCCCATGTCTTTGCTCATGCACTGGTCTGGTACCTCTGCTTGCTTCTTTCCTTTCCCCATTTGTTCTTATGGCTAAATCTTTATTCTTCAAGACTGAAATTGCATCTCATCATTTGTTCTTATGGCTAAATCTTTATCCTTCAAGACTGAAATTGCACCTTCACAGTTCCCCAGGTAAATCAATACTTCCTTTTCCTGTGTTCCCAGTGGAGTTGATTTAGTCTATATAGTAGCCTGAGCAGTTGTTTGTCATTCATTCATTCGTCTCATTGTTTTATAAATTAGTTAAGGTGCTCCTGACTAAGGCAGCATTTTAAGGATTAGGGTGATGGCTATATTCTGCCTCTATCCTGGACTGATACTTCCTCTAGGGTGGCAAACTGTGTTTAGTTATCTCTGAATAAATGGTGCTCATAAGTAGTGTGACGCTGTGGGTTAATGCGTCAGACTGCAAAGTCATTTGAACTGCAAGGTCGGTGGTTCAAACTCACCAGCTCCTCTTCAGAAACCATATACAGGGTCACTATGGGTCAGAACCGACTCAATGGCACTTAACAACAGCAACAACGAGTGTAGAAGGAGCAAACAGATGCTTACAGCACAGGAAGGAAGGCCTGAGATAGAAACGCAGTCAGAGGAAGCAGGTCGAGGACTTACTTCCCCCCAGGAATGTTCTCTCAAGTAGCCCTTGTATGATAATGATTTTTAAGATAGCATGTTGACAAAGATATCACAGTTCTTAAGACTGATGAGATGTTAAGAGGAAGCAATGTGAGAATGATCAACTCTAGACTTCTTGATAGGGTAGTCAAAATTCTCTTGCTCCTTCCTTCACCAATCCAACCCTGCCCCAGGCGCCTCGTTAGAACCTCTCTCTGAGGGGAATCATTCTGTGTCATTTAATCGCTCAATTTTTCATTTTCCCTCAAGTAAAATTCTTTATATACTCAGGTTTGAACCCTGACTCCATGACTTAGAAGCTCTTTGACCTTGACAGCTATGTTTAGTCATTTGCTGTATCACTTTGGATAAACCGCTCTCAGCTTCAGTGTTCTCATCTGTGAAATGGACACCTTCATTTCTCTTTCTCAGAAAGGTGTTATAATGATTGAATGCCTACAAAGTATTTAGCACAGTGGCTGAAGGTGGATTATTATTATCATTTTCTGTCCATTTGCGTGGGTCAGAAGCAATGACATAGTGGTAAGGTGAACTTGGGAGTTCCAATGTCAGATTTTAGTTCTAGCTTTAGCTGTGTGACTTTGAACAAACCCTTAATTCCTCCTAAGCTTCTCTTTCCCTATCGTACAATGGCAATAAGTCTTTCTTCAAGGAATGGTTGTGAAATACAGGAAATCTTCATGGTATTGACCAACGTAGAATAGGTGCTGAGTTATAATAGAGCTCTTTAGAATATTAGGCTGTGGGGTGCTGGATCCATGGAGAGATGTGTGAGGCCTTTAATGAGGGTAACTGCAGTTCTCATGATCTGTTACCTTAAAAGGAGAAATTGTAAATATATTAAATCACAGAATCGCTTTGCCACCAGACATGGGGAAGTCGAGGCTAGAATTCAGGACGTGCCTTTGAGCACTGTCTCCCGAGCTTGTTCTGTACTCAGTCTGATACTCTTACTCCCTTCCTGTGGCTAGCTGGGTGGGCAGTAGTTCTTGGCTGGAACTCAGAGCCATTTGCACGTGGTTCCTTAGATATTCATACCCATGCAATCCTGTGTGTGTTCCTCTGTGGGCAAGGAGTTTTGGAACCACAGAACTAGAAGCTTTTCTACCCCCACATTACCTCAAGTGAGGAAATGGAGGCCCAGATAGGGGCCCCCTCCTCCAAAGTACTCATGTATTGACAGAATCTGAAGTGGAGGACTCAGAAGTGGGATCTACAGGGAGACAACTCTGGGCTCCTATGTTCTTTCCCTGATCAGATTAATCACTGGTGGAGTCATGTCCATCCATGGCTGGGGGAGGCAGAGAGGAATTTGGAACCATCTGCCATTAGAGGTTTCAATGATTTCCTAATGTAGATCAAGAAGATCGCACGCAGATGACCCTGGTAGAGGGCAGAAGGGAGTATAGGAGGGACCCTGCCTGCCGGAGGAATGAACCAAGGGTGGGAGGAGAGAAACTGAAAAGGGAGAATGGAGATAGATGACAGGAAGTGGGAGTAAGGCTTCATTTGCTGCTTGTCGAAATGTCATTTCCTTGAAATTATTTGTCAGGCAATTTCCCCTTGAAGAGATCTATTCTAAGGAATTAACTTCTACCACAAAGTGTTTCTCTTTCTTAATCTCACTCTCTCTGATATGGGTTGAACTGTGTTCCCCCAAAATATATATCATAAATCTTAACACCTCTACTTGTGGGATCCTGGTGTGGTGCTGCAGGCACAGAAAGGTTGGTTTGAACCGAAAGGTCAGCAGTTCAAATTCACCAGCCGCTCTTTGGAAACCCTTTACAGGGTTGCTATGAATTGGAACCGACTTGATGGCACTTAACAACATACTATGAATCCATAGGATAAACACTGGACTGCGAACCACAAGGTTGGCGGTTTGAGCCCACCAGCTGCTCCGTGAGCAAAAGTTGAAGCTTTCAGCTCCTACAAAGATTTATAGCCTTGGAAACTCTATGTTGTTGTTAAGTGCCATGGAACCGATTATGACTTACAGCAAACCTGTACAGGGTTTCCAAGGAGCAGCTGGAGGGTTTGAACTGCAGACCTTGTAGTTTGCTGTTCGCTGCTATAGTGCCACACCAGGAGTCTAGAGGAAACCCTATTTAGGGTCTCTATGAGTTGGAACCAACTGAATGCACTTAACAATAACAATATACCTGCAGATGTAGTCCTATTTGGGAATAAAGTTTCCTTTGTTATTAATGGATCCATATCAATGTAAAGTAATGTTTAAAGCCAATCACTTTTGAAATATAGAAGAACAGATTAGCCAGGGATGGGAAGGGAAGGGAAGGGAAGGTAAATTCCTAAATGGAGTTATTTTTGTTAAATGGAT